TTCCAAACTCAGCCTTTGGAACTGTTATTCAAACTCTTTCTTCCATCCTATTAGTTCCAGAGTTTCTAAGAAAGAATATCTAGGGGTGCCAGTCTAAAAAGAACATCAGTTTGTTGGTTTTTTTTTAATATTTGTTTATTTTGGCTGCACTAGGTCTCCATTGCTGTGCACGGGCTTTCTCTAGTTGCAGAGAGTGGGGACTACTTTTCGTTACACTGCTCAGGCTTATCATCACAGTGGCCTCTCCTGTGAGGGAGCAGTCTCTAGGCTCACAAGCCTTCAATAGTTGCATCTCACAGGTTAAGTAACTGTGGCTTATAGGCCCTAGAGCATAGGCCCAGAAGTTGTGGTGCATGGGCTTTGTTGCTCTGTAGCATGTGAGATCTTCCCAGATCAGGGATCAGACCCGCATCCCCTGTGTTGGCGGGCAGATTCTTATCCACTGTGCCACCAAGAACAAGGGAAGTCCAAGAACATAAATTTTAAAAGGCAAGTATATATCTTTCTTTTCCTTTCTCTGGGTCACCTGAGCCCTGAGAAACCTCAGGAGGTGAGTCTTTCTGCAAAATGAAACTGACCTGCTTCTAGACTCAGGTCCTGTGAACTTGCAAAAAGATGGAAGTGTGTGGGCCATCCCTCTGTGTGACACTGTGATATATAATAAATATACACTTGATCTTCATCCCTGTTTTTGGTGCTGAGCTCCTAAAACCCTTGGAATTTCTTAAGTGATGAAAATGATCAGGGTGTCTCTTGTTATTTTAATAAGATGACTTTTAGAAGCACCTAAATGTGGGGACTGTTTGCTAGGATAACCATGTGATTAGAAGGTTGGAACTTTCAGTCCAACCCCTGATCTCTGAGGGAAGAGGAGCTGGAGGTTGAATCAATCACCATGACCAATGATTTAATCAATCATGAGTCTGTAATGAAGTCTTCATAGAAACCCTGAAGGACAGAATTTGAAAGCTTCCAGGTGGGTGAACACATGGAGAATTGAGGAAAGTGGTACACTGGGAAGGGGCCTGGCACCTCCATGCCCTGTCCCTGTGCCCTGCCCCGTATGCATCTCTTCCATCTGGCTGCTCCTGATGTACAGCCTTTTATAATAAATGGGTGATCTAGTAAGTAAGATGTTTCTGGAGTCCTATGAACTGCTCTGGCAAACTAATCAAGGGCACGGTGGGATCCTTGGAACCCGCAAGCTGTAGCCAGTCAACCTGAAGCCGATGTGACAACCTGGGCTTGTGACTGGCATCTGAAGTGGAAGAGGATCTTGTGGGCTGTGGAATCTGATGCCCCCTCCAGGCAGACAGTGTCCGAGTTGAGTTGATTTGTAGGACACCCAGCTGGTGTCTGAGAGATGTTTGTTGATGGGGGAAAACCCCAACTGCATGCTGTAATTGGGTGAGCAGAATCTTACTGTGCGAGTAAATGGCCAGCACAGGTCCATATGTGTTAGATTAAATTGGACAAACTAGACCTGGCTCTGCCTCAGTGGGACTCTAAGCCTTAGCTCCTTTGATTTTCAAATGGCCATGAAAATGCCTGGCCCACTGGCCTCAGATGGCCGTCATGAGGACCAGAGCATCCATGTACGCATGAGCATTATTAATACTTTCTAGTCCCATAAAGGATTAATTTGATTATCTGTAAAATACCTACTTGGAGGTGACCCTTGTTGGGTACATCATACACTTGAGAATTTTCCTCCACAATATTTCTATGGGAGAACATCCTCAATAAACATTTTCTGCCCAGTTGATCTGACTGACTGACCACCATTCACCAGAGCAGAAAAGGAAAGTTCTTCTGAGACTGCAGGAACCTTCCAGTGTTCTTCTGTCAGTCTGGGTTAAAGATGCCAGACCAGGTGAATGAAATAGGAAGTGATGAGTGCCTTCAGGAGTCCTAGGATTCTTCCTGTTGATGTCACTTAGAGATCAGGAAAAGACAACAGGGCTGGTATTCAACAAAAGCCAGCATAAGGGAATATCACTTTTGAGTATTGCTTTGTTCTTATTGCTCAGTTGCTAAGTTGTGTCTGCAGTGAACTACAGCATGACCAGCTTCCCTGTCCTTCACTGTCTTCCTGAGTTTGCCCAAACTTATGTCCACTGAGTCAGTGATGCCATCCAACCATCTCATCCTCTGTCGCCCTCTTCTCCTGCCTTCAATCTTTCCCAGCATCATGGTCTTTTCCAATGAGTCTGCTCTTCCCATCAGGTGGCCAAAGGATTGGAGCTTCAGCATCAGTCCTTCCAGTGAATATTCAGGACTGATTTCCTTTAGGATTGACTGGTTTGGTCTCCTTGCTGTCCAAGGGACCCTCAAGAGTCTTCTCCAGCACCACGGTTTGAAAGCATCAATTCTTAGGCGCTCAGCCTTCTTTACGGTCTAATTCTCATATCATACATAACTATTGGAAAAACCATAGTTTGACTATACAGACAGATGTTTGTCAGCAAAGTGATATCTCTGCTTTTTAATATGCTATCTAGGTTTGTCATAACTTTTCTTCCAAAGAGCAAGTGTCTTTTAATTTCGTGGCTGCAGTTACAATCTGTAGTGATTTTGGAGCCCAAGAAAATAAAGTCTGTCACTGTTTCCATTTTTTCCCCATCTATTTGCCATGAAGTGATAGGACCGAATGCCATGATCCTAGTTTTTTGAATGTTGAGATTTAAACCAGCTTTTTCACTCTCTTCTTTCACCTTAATCAAGAAGCTCTTTAGTTCCTCTTCAATTTCTGCCATTAGGGTGGTGGTATCTGCATATCTGAGGTTATTGATATTTCTCCTGGCAATCTTGATCCAGCCCACCATTTCATATGATGTACTCTGCACAGAAGTTAAACCAACAGGGTGACAATATACAGCCTTGTCATACTCCTTTCCTAATTTTGGAACAGTTCATTGTTCTGTGTCCAGTTCTAACTGTTGCTTCTTGTCCTGCATACAGGTTTCTCAGGAGGCAGGTAAGGTGGTCTGGTATTCCCATCTCTTTTAAGAATTTTCCACAGTTTGTAGTGATCCACACAGTCAAAGGCTTTGGTATAGTCAATGAGGCAGAAGTAGATGTTTTTTGGGAATTTCCTTGCTTTTTCTATGATCCAATGGATGTTGACAATTTGATCTGTGGTTCCTCTGCCTTTTCTAAATCCAACTTAAACATCTGGAAGTTATCAGTTCACGTACTGTTGAAGCCTAGCTTGGAGAATTTTGAGTGTTACCTTGATAGTGTTTGAAATGAGTGCAATTGTGTGGCAATTTGAACATTCTTTGGCATTGCCCTTCTTTGGGATTGGAATGAAAACTCACCTTTTCCAGTCCTGTGGTCACTGCTGAGTTTTCCAAATTTCCTGCCATATTGAGTGAATCACTTTAACAGCATCTTCTTTTAGGATTTGAAATAGCTCCACTGGAATTCTATCATCTCCACTATGTTTGTTTGTAGTAGTGTTTCCTAAGGCCCACTTGACTTCACACTTGAGGATGTCTGGCTCTAGGTGAGTGATCACACCATCATGGTTATCTGTCATTAAGATCTGTTTTGTACAGCTCTTCTGTGTATTCTTGCCACCTCTTCTTAATCTCTTGTGCTTCTGTTAGGTCCTTGCTGTTTCATTCCTTTATTGTGCCTGTCTTCGCATGAAATATTCCCTTGGTGTCTCTAATTTTCTTGATGAGATCTCTAGTCTTTATTTCTTTGGACTGTTCACTTATGAAGGCTTTCTCCTTGCTATTCTCTGGAACTCTGCATTCAGTTGGGTATCTTTCCTTTTCTCCTTTGTCCTTCTCACCTATTTGTAAGGCCAGCAGCAGGATAACATGATGGCATGGTAAGTATCCCTTAGGCATTTGTTATTTTTCTCATCTAAATGTGGACAACCAGCCCATAGACACTTCCTGAGAGATCCCATTTCAGGCCCTGGGTCTCTCCACTCTCCTGCAGACAAGGGCATTGTGGCCCAGAGGACCTCGGGAAGGTGCTGCCCCTGAAACTCCACACATCAGTTCTCCGTACACGTCATCAGTCCAGTGCCTGGACCAGAGGAGCATGTGAGCTCTGCCAGGGTGGAGAGGTCAGGACAGCAGAGAGCCCTGGGCCTTAGTGGCAGCGGAGGTGCCTGGAGAGGGTGAGCACAGGTGTCATCCTTTACATGGCATCCCAACATGAACCCAGTTCTCCCACTTGGTCGCTTTGCACTTATTGCAAGGATTGTACTGACCTCTCCCTTCTTCTTCCAACAGTGAATACTTCCTGAGTCCCAGGGACTTTGCTTGATGCTGAGCTGGTTTCAGAACAGCCACAGAGACCTTGCAGCCTTCTGAGGGGAGGGGCACCAGGTATTTGTGCTGCTGTGTGGTGAGAGCTCAGCTGACAGAGGGGGCAGACTGCAGAAGGTCAGGGAGAAGCAGCATTCCAGCTGGGCTTTAAAGGGTCAGGAGAGTTATACCAGGCCCAGGGGGCTGGGGAAAGGGCATTTAAGGCCGAGGAGACAGCTTTGAAAGGCCCTAAGTGTGAGCATGCCTGGGGCAGTGGTGAGTGTCTCAGTGTACACTGTCTGTAATGTGTGTGGAGGTGGGGAGGCTGTGAAGGTGGTCCCCAGACAGGTGGTCAAGGGGCTGTAGATATAGACTCTGTTCTGTGGGCCGAGGGTGGGGAGGCATGGAGACAGATGGGTACAGCGGGTGTCTGAGGTCAGTTCACACCAGTTAGTAAGAGTTCATTGTTACATTTTCTGAGTTTTCTGAACTGGTTGATTTGACATTAGTAGTTTAAAATCAGTGATGGTGGGCATGTTCATGCGATAGAAACTGGCAAACACTCTAATGAGTTTTTGTTTTTTTTTTAAACATTTATGGGCATGTGTTTGTGCACAGATTCGTGTGTGTATTAATGCATGTGTCTGCACACTGGTATATAGTTGATAGAAATCACAAGGAAGGGGCCTACCAACAGGCAGAAAGAACTGCATGTGATTTTGGCACACTCACCAGCCTCAGATTCTTCATCGCTTGGGGAAACATGCCTTGGTGTAACTGCAGTTTGCCAACTTTCATTATCTGTACACCTCTGACGGGATGGTTTCCTGGGTAAAAAATCCTGGGAGAAAACAAATGGCAAGCAGCGTGAGTAGCTCTCACCCATGCAATCAGCGTTTCATCAGGAGAACACAAAAGTGGGAGCGAAGGCTGGCTGTGAATGTCAACGAGCCCCTAAGCAAAACCAGCTTTGCAGCCTGAGAACACGATGCTGAGGGAAGAAGCTCACTGCTGGTCTCCTGGTCCCCGGAATGCCTTCTGCACTAGGGGAAAGTGACAGGATTGGAATGCCTCTCTACTAAACACTAAGAGAAGCTCCAGTACCCAGGAAGCCTTGGACCAGAAGCTGGCCTCTCAGTATATAATTGTTAAGTAAATCAATGATATGCCCACAACCCTCCTTTTAACCACAAAGTCCTCTGAGTCTCAAGTGCAGAGTCTCATTGATTGCAGTCCACCTTTCCTACTGCCCCTGTGTATTCATTCTGTCATCACTGGACTCCAGAGCTTTGGATTCAGACACCCCATCTGTGTTGGCCACCATGTCCTGCATGCAAGAACTCCACACATACCTGACCTCTTTCACACACAGCGGAATAGAACAGAGTGTTTCAGTGGACTGAAGAATGAAAACCAAGGACTATGTTTCAGACCCAGTGTAATTTCACCTTGACTCAGCAAGAACTTACTAATATTAGAGTCAACAAAATGTGAACAGTTCGGCCTCTTCTTCCTCCTACATCGTCTATCCTGAGAGTCTCCTGGGCGCCTGCTGTATAAGTGAGATCAATCCTAGGGCTGGAGGAGATAGTACACTGTATATACGTGATCTTTTCCCTTGAGGCTCATAATCCCATTAGACACAAGACAGACATTCATACAACAGTTTAAAAATATCACAGGATAGAGCATGACTTAGTACACAGCAATGGTCAGTTCAGCTGTGTGGAATGAACTGAGAAAATGACACAGGAGTTACCAAGAGGAGAGTTGAACGGGGCTCCCCGGGATCTAGGAAGGCTTGTCTTGGTTGGGGAGGAATGGAAATACATCCTTGCTGTTGAGTGGCTTGACTGAAGGTGCACTCCAGATGCTGCCTGTCCAGAGACAACAGGTACTTGCCTATAGGCCTCCAAAAGGTAATCCCAAGTCATGACTTATACGGGGCTTGCCATGTGCCAAGCACTGTTCTGCTTTTCACTTATGAACATGCCATAGAACCCACATTTAGGCTCTACTGTGAGGTGGATTTATCAAGAGACACATATGTTCTCCAATTAGTATACTATCTGTACACCATTCCCTAGCCCTGAACCTCAGCTCTTGCCCACATGAAATGTGATATAGAAACTTTGTTCATTCAGGCTCTTAAAGAAATGGAAAGCAGTACCGGAGAGAGGGAGGTATTTAAATTAATAGAATGTTGGCTGTGTTTCTTTTAAAGAACTAAAAAGGGAGGGGACGGAGGGAAACAAAGGTGACACCTGGGTCCTGGCTTTTCCTTCATCTACTGAGCCTGCCAAGAGATCAGTCACGTCACCTCTCCCCCTTACAAAACGAACATCATTATCTACTTGTGTGGAAAAGATTTTAAGATCCCCGGACAAAAGGCTTAAGTATAGGACGCCATTGCCCTGTACTTAATTGCCTTGGACACTTTCCTTGAAAAGCACACCTGGATTTGGAACTTTATTTTATTGCTATGAATGTACCATAATTAAATTTAAAGGCCAAAAAGTAATTTCATACTAATAATCATTCTATTAAGTGGATGTCTGTCATGTCAGTTAGCAAAAGCAAAGAAAATCTTGGGTTCTATGGTGGCAGAGAAAGTGGTGCATATAATTACTCCATGACAGGTACCTGCTCTGGTTGCTTAAAGATATTAAAAAAACGAAGTGGAGTTTAATCAGGAGAGGATAAGGAAGTGTCTGGGAGGACTTCCACATAAATATTTATGGAGCAGCCTCGCAGCTCTGGCAGGGGTGATGTGCATGTGCCTGGGTTGTTTCTGGAGGCCTCCCAGCTGACATATGGAATAAGCATCATGATTACTTGCCGGAATAGCACCCCAAGGAAAACTGGTGAAGCTCACTCCTGCTGGGAGAAGTTCTCTACCCAGGGCACGGCTTTCGTCAGCTTTCTGCATGTGACAGTGAGGAGGAGGGAGGAGGTCTTCAATCACAGGACCGTCAGGAATCAAGGCCAGGCTGAGGGCCTGAACCAGAGAAGGAATGAAGGATGCCCAAGGACTAAAACAGGAGTTTGAATGTGAGACTCTAGAGGCAGAGAGACCTGAGGCAGGATGGTGGTAATAAGAACAGAAGAGAAGGAGCTGATGTGAAAGATGCTCTGCAGCTGATCGGATAAGGACCCGGAGACCTGCTGAGGTGTGGCAGTCAGAGTTGACTCCAAGATTCAGAAATCGAAATGCTGCCACAAAAACACAAGCAGACCGTATAATAACAAAATTTTCATTCAACCAGGCATTCTGCTTGTTTGGTGTTAGGAATTTTCTTTTCGTGGGTATAGTGCTAGCAATCATGTGGTCCAGGATGCTGGGCCCAGAAAGGAAAAAGTGCCCTTCGTGTTCCTGTGGTGCAGAGAAGTATACAGGAAGGAAGGTGTTTAAACAAGCAAGAGAAAAGCAGCAGCACATGCTAGTTTAACCAAGACCCACGAGCTCCAAGATGTTTAACCAAGACCCACGAGCTCCAAGATCTTGCTGCCATATTCTCCCAGAAGGCTTCAGGTCAGGGAACTGGAATGTCTCAAATTAAAGGGGATAGAGAAAAACACACCCGATGGCAGGACCTATGTTATTGGTCTTGCTGAAGTTTTCCCACATGATGCAATTACCAGTCACATTTCTTCACTACAGGTAGCAGTCCTAACATTTGTATGGCAGCAAAAACCACTTATTGTTAGGACTCTTTTTTTTTTAAGAACTCATATAAAATGCATTACTGAGTTTAAAACAAGAGCTTAACTATATAAACTGTATTTTAGCATAACCAAGTAGCTATAATGTATTAGTATGAATTTTAGCTGATAAATGTGAAATCTAATTCTAATAATTAGAAAAATCAGCATTTTGCAATTCTTGAAGAAATAACTAATCCATGAAAAATGTATCACTAGATGAAACCAGTAGATCAAAGAATGATGGAAAATTTTACAATGTGTAAGGTTATTACCATCTGAACCCAGTCATCAATCTTAGCATCACTAACATGGGACAGCCAGACATGACCTGCTGTCTGAGCTGACTATAGTAAGATTTTGTACCAGCTATAAAGGATCCTTGACAAAAAAAAAGAAATGAAATTTAATCAAGCCCATAAAATTCCATTTCACAGGAAAAATAATTGGTAGAGGAACAAATAACAGCAACCAGCTAAATTCAAAATATGGTAAGTTTTACAGAACTGTCATCACCCAGGATCTTTAGCAGGTCCATGGCATGAAAAGAAAAAGGTGGCAGAGGAGAAGACTCTAGATTAAAAGAGACTTAAGAGATACAACAGTCAAAGGTAATTTGTAGACCTTTTTCATTTTAACTCAAAAGTTATGACCAACCTGGATAGCCAATAAAGGTCTGTCTAGTCAAGGCTGTGGTTTTTCCAGTGGTCGTGTATGGATGTGAGAGTTGGACTGTGAAGATAAAGTTGAGCACCAAAGAATTGATGCTTTTGAACCATTGTGGTGGAGAAGACTCTTGAGAGTCCCTTGGACTGCAAGGAGATCCAACCAGTCCATCCTAAAGGAGATCGGTCCTGGGTATTCATTGGAAGGACTGATGCTGAAGCTGAAACTCCAATACTTTGGCCACCTCATGCGAAGAATTGACTCATTGGAAAAGACCCTAATGCTGGGAAAGGTTGGGGGCAGGAGGAGAAGGGGATGACAGAGGATGAGATGGCTGGATGGCGTCACCAGCTCAATGGACATGGGTTTGGGTAGACTCCAGGAATTGGTGATGGACAGGGAGGCCTGGTGTGCTGCAATTCATGGGGTTGCAAAGAGTCGGACAGGACTAAGTGACTGAAGTGAAGTGAAGTGGCTCAGTCGTGTCCAACTCAGCGACCCCATGGGCTGGAGCCCACCAGGCTCCTCAGTCCATGGAATTTTCCAGGCATGAATACTGGAGTGGATTGCCATTTCCTTCTCCAGACTGAACTGAACTATAAAAAGACATTTCTGAGTCAATCTAGGAAATGTGAACATGAAATGGCATTGTTAAGAAAAGATCCCCATTTTTTTGAGATACGAACTGAAATACGCATGGATAAAATGCTGTAATGACTGTGATTTGATTTAAATCTCTTCAGCATAATTTCTCCTTCCAGCCATGATGGATTAGTTTTTTTCAGACCAAACTCCATGCTAACAAGAAACATTAGACAAAATATTTATAAAACTGTTTGAAGGTGTCAAAGAATGACTGAGGGACTGGAGTCTGAATGACTCAAAGGGCAGAAAGAATAGACTCTCAAGTAGGTGGTCCTTTGTTGCTCCTTTTCCCTTTGTTGATTTCAAAGGAGAGGCAGTTAGGCTAAAGAACTAAGCAGAAGTTTTGGCAGTCTCAAAGGGGACACAGAATTTGGAGCTCAGGGCTCAGCAAAGAAGAGAAGGAGCGCTTAATAAACATCCTTGACTTTCATTTGTGACCCAGCGCATATGATGCATTTTTGTTGTTGTTTAAAAAAAAAAGATCTCAACATTGGGAAACAAAACCAAAGAAAGAAAAGAATGTGTAGCAAAGAGAAGCCTGTTGGGGCTGGGAGAGGTTGGGAAGACACTGGCTGAGTAGCCAGAAGCTGCCTCCTTAAGGAAAGGCTTATGATGTAGATAGAGTTAAATGTCCAATTTTGAACTTAAAAGTTTGAGTTTTAGCTTACTTTTTGAAAAAATGTACAGAGAAGACATTGCCCATGCTTGTAACTTTCAACTAGGTGTGTTTAATTAGTTTAATTTAACCCTGGACTTGTGCACAAATTTCCTCATCCCCTTGCCAGACCTGCTTATGTGCTGCCTGGTCCACTGGCAGCGTGGCTAACAGTGGGGAGATGCCATGGGCCAGCCAGCATGACTGAATTATACGGTGACTATAATTTAGTCATTAAATGCTTGGGAAAAAATGGCAATGAGATTTTCATTAGAAAAGTTCCACTTGTCCTATAATAAGGTCTATTTATTCACTTACATGGGCAACAAAAGACACTGCTGAAGTTCTAGATGTATACTCTAAGTCCCCTTAGTATCTGAATACACAGATTTCATTTCACTCTGAGATCAGCTCCCAAGAAGAAGCTCTTGAGTAGAAATCTTGTTTTCATAAGTTAGATTTTAATGTATTTGAGCCTGTTAGTTCAGATTTATGAAAATTGTTCTGATGCTTTTTACTGGTAATATGGCAAGTTTAGTAAGCCATATTGATTATCTCGCTGAAAACAATGTAAGGTGGTAGATAAAATATTTTTAAAAGTAATGATGTGCTGGCAAGATAGTAAAGAACCATCAGGCCAAAATCTAAATGAAGAGAGAAGTAAGGAGAATGGTGAGACTACTGCTACACTGGTGTGCTGAAACCTCTGGCTTCATCTGCTTTTGGGAGCTTGTGGGTCAAAAGGGCAAGCTCAGTGTCTACCCAGCTAATAGGGAAGCCTCCCCTTTTGCCAATCACTGGAGACAGATTACATTCAAAAGAGATGCAATAAGGCTGACAGTGGAAGCCTGTAGAATGATACAGTGATTCCTAGACTAGTATTCTGTATCTTTAAAAATATCTTTCTCAAGAATCAAGATGGATAGGTGAAAGGTATACTTCTGGAGGTGATGAAAATGTTCTAGAATTGACTGTAGGAACGGTGGCATATCTTTGAACATAATTAAAAAAAAACTGAATCATACCTTTAAATGGGTTGGGTAAGTTGTATGATGAGTGAATTGATTATAATTTAACAGAACTTTAACAAAAAGAATGAGACATTAGCACCCCACAAATGAAATAGGTATAAATCTATAACAGAATATATAGAAGATCTATATAAGAAAAACTGGAAAACTCTGATGAACAAAATCAGAATAAGTGGAAAGATATTCCATATTCACTGATAGGGAGAGTCAGTATTGTCAAAATGTCAGTTCTTTGCATTTTGAGCTATAGATTCAGTGCAATCCCAAACAAAATTCTAGCAAGTTATTTTGTGGATGTCAGCAAACCCATTCTCAAGTTTATATGGATATGACCCAGCAATCCCACTCCTGGGCATACACACTGAGGAAACTAGATCTGAAAGAGACATGTGCACCCCAGTGTTCATCGCAGCACTGTTTATAATAGCCAGGACATGGAAGAAACCTAGATGCCCATCAGCAGACGAATGGATAAGGAAGCTATGGTACATATACACAATGGAATATTACTCAGCCATTAAAAAAAATTCATTTGAATCAGTTCTGATGAGATGGATGAAACTGGAGCCCATTATACAGAGTGAAGTAAGCCAGAAAGATAAAGACCAATACAGTATACTAANCATTTGAATCAGTTCTGATGAGATGGATGAAACTGGAGCCCATTATACAGAGTGAAGTAAGCCAGAAAGATAAAGACCAATACAGTATACTAATGCATATATATGGAATTTAGAAAGATGGTAACGATAACCCATTATGCACAACAGAAAAAGAGACACATATGAACAGAAAAAGAGACACAGATGTACAGAACAGACTTTGGGATTCTGTGGGAGAAGGCGAGGGTGGGATGTTCTGAGAGAATAGCATTGAAATAAGTATACTATCAAGGGTGAAACAGACCACCAGCCCAGGTTGAATGCATGAGACAAGTGCTCAGGGCTGGTGTACTGGGAAGACCCAGAGGGGTGGGATGAGGAGGGGGGATCGGGATGGGGAACACATGCAAATCCATGGCTGATTCATGTCAATGTATGGCAAAAACCACTACAATATTGTAAAGTAATTAGCTTCCGACTAATAAATGAAAAAAAAATAAGAAACCGAGATTGAGGTAATAAAAATAAAGTTTATATGGAGAGGCAAAAGATTCAGAATAGCTAGCATAATACTGAAACAGAACAAAGTTGGAGGACTGACACTACCCAAATTCAAGACTTACTGTAAAAGCTACAGTAATCAAGACAGTGTGATATTGTATTTGTGAAAGAAAAGACAAAATACTGGGTTGGTCAGGGAACTTTTTGACCAACCCAAAAAATCAATGGAACAGAGTAGAGAGCTCAGAAAGACCCACATAAACACAGTCAACTGATCTTTGACCAAAAAGCAAAGTCTATACAATGGGGCAAAGACAGTATTCTTTTTTATCCCCCTCAAGAAATGATTGCAGAACAACTGGCGGTCCATATGCAAAAAAAAAAAAAAAAGCACAGATCTTAACACCCATCACTCAAAAACCAGTCTTGGTTTGGTGGTGCCTTTTGGTTACGACATCAAAGCCACGATGAAAGTGAAAGTGAAGTCGCTCAGTTGTGTCTGACTCTTTGCAACCCCATGTACTGTAGCCTACCAGGTTCCTCCATTCATGGGATTTTCCAGGCAAGAGTACTGGAGTGGGTTGCCATTCCCTTCTCCAGGGGATCTTCCCGACCCAGGGATCGAACCCGAGTATCCTGCATTGCAGGCGGGCGCTTTTAATGTCTGAGCCACCAGGGAAGTCAAAGAAATAATTGATAAGCTGGACTTCATTAACATAAAACCTTCTGCTATGTAAAAGACAATGTCAGGAGAATGGGAAGATAAACCACAGACCGGAAGAAAACATTTGCAAAAGACACTTCTCATAAAGGCTTGTTATCCTAAATACACAAAGTACTCTCAAAAGCCAATAATAAGCAAAAACCTCATTTAAAAAATGGGTCAAAAACCTGGACAGACATCTTACCAAAGAGGATACACAGATGGCAATTAATGATTATGAAAATATGAACATGTTCCATATTATATGTCATCAAGGAAATGCAAACTAAAAAAAATGCCATATCAGTATACATCTGTTAGAACAGCCAAAACCCAGAGCACTGACAATACTAGGGGCTGGTGAGGAGGTATAACAGCAGCTTTCATTCATCACTAGTGGGAATGCAAAATGATGCAGCCACTTTGGAAGAGATTGACAGTTCCTTACAAAACTACACATGCTAATCAGGCTAAACCACAGTATCCAGGAATTGTGCTCCTTGGTATTTACCCAAAGGAGTTGAAACCAAAAACCTACACATGAACATTTATAGCAGCTTTGTTCACAGTTGTCCAAAGTTGGAAGCAACAGAAGTGTCCTTCAGTAGGTGAATGGATAAATAAACTGTTATTGATACATCCAGACGATGGAATATTATCCAGTGCTAGAAAGAAATGACCTATCAAGCTATGAAAAGATATGGAGGAGCAAACCTTAAGTGTATAAAACTGAGACACCAACAACCTGAATGGGCTACATTCCAACTGTATGACATTTTGGAAAAGGCAAAACTATGGAGACAATAAAAAGATCAGTGGTTCCCAGGAGTTCCGAGGTGAAGGAGGGATGAATAGGTAGAGCACAGGGGTTTTTTCAGGGCAGTGAAATACTCTATATACCACCATAATGATGGGAAAATGTCGTATACATTTTACATATACATATATATACATTTGTCCAAACACATAAAATGTACAACACCAAGAGTTAACCCCATTGTAAACTATGGACTTTGGGTGGCTGTGATGTGTCATTATAGGTTTTTCAGTTGTCACAAGTGTCCCGCTCTGGTGAGGAATGTTGATAATGGGGGATTCATGTGTGGGATAGGGAGTATATGGGAAATCTCACTATATTCCACTCAATTTTGCTGTGAACCTAAATCTTAAAAAAAAAAACCTAAGGTGTAATTTTTTAAAAAAGGAATGAGGTTGAAATGAAGACATTTTAGACAAAGAAAAACTGAATTCGTCACCTCAGATCTTAACTAGAGGAATTTCTAAATCTATATACTTCCGGTAGAAGGGAAGTGAGTGAAGATGGGAAGTCAGAGGTTCAAGGACTGAAGAATAAAAAGAATGCTTATATGGGCAAGTCTACAAATACTGACAAAACAATTTTAGGAGGTTATAAATACAGTAAAAATAAAAAATATACTAAGTACATCATATATGTCAGTAGGAAAGAAAGCAGGATTCAAGTACTCTAAAATCCTTCTATGTCCAGAAAGAACTTGGATATATATATTTCTTTAAATAGTTCATCCCTAATTTATATACCCTTTGATATATTTAATATATCAAATATTATATTTAATGATATGTATTTAATTTAATAAATACTTAATAGTCTTAAATAACTGAATTAATGTTCTGTTTTAATTTCTAGGTACAAAACCATTGTGTAAAGAACAATCAGATTAATTATAATTGGCATCTGGTCAATCGCCTGGAGAATCCCATGGACAGAAGAGCCTGGCAGGCTGTACAGTTCATGGGGTCACAAGAGTCGGACATGACTTAGCAACTAAACCACCACCATTGCCCATCACTTCATGCAAATAGATGGGGAAGCAATGGAAACAGTGGCAGATTTTATTTTCTTGGGCTCCAAAATCACTGAGGACTGGGACTGCAGCCGTGAAATTAAAAGACACTTGCTTCTTGGAAAAAAGGCTATGACAAACCTAGACAGCATACTAAAAAGCAGAGACATCACTTTGCTGACAAAGGTACATATAGTCAAAGCTATAGTTTTTTCAATAGTCATGTACATATGTGAGACTTGGACCATAAAGAAGGCCGAGTGCTGAAGAATTGATGCTTTCGAATTGGGGTGCTGGAGAAGACACTTGAGAGTCTTTTGGATGGCAAGGAAACCAAACTAGTCAGTCCTAAAGGGAATCATGCAAGGACTGAATATTCATTGCAAGGAATGATGCTGAAGCTCCAGTGCTTTGGCCACTCATTGGAAAAGACCCTGGTGCTGGGAAAGATTGGAGGCAAAAGGAGAAGGGGGTGGCAGAGGATGAAATGGTTGGATGGCATCACTGACTCAATAGACACGAGTTTGAGCAAACTCCAGGAGATAGTGAAGGACAAGGAAGCCTGGCATGCTGCAGACCATGGGGTCACAAAGAGTCGGACACAGCTACTAAACAACAATGAGTTTAATGATCTCAAAAGATTGAGTCCTAAATGAAGAAGGGAACATTGTGGTTTTTAAAATGTACATACATAACTTTCCTTTGTTTTGAAGGAAAAAACTAGATTTATAAAAATGAACAACTAATAAAAAGTTGCACAATCTAGTTTTAAATAGAAGATGAAATACAGCTTGCCATCAGTAAGGTTAACCCAGTTGTGTGTCTGTATCTGTAATACAGTGTGTTGATATCCAACAACAGAGTGTTGTTAATGTATATTCCAGAAGCGAAATCAGCTCATACAGATGTCAGGCACTCTTAAGAGCGCCCCGAGCTCTTGAAGAAGTCTTAGGCTCCAAGAGCACAGGTTTTGGGAGGAGATGGAATGTGTGCCGCAAAGCAGAGATGTTCTCTTTTTCAGTGATTTCCAAGAGAAAATATAGCCTGTTGGAGCAGAGCAGATGGCACTGCTAAGACGTAGAATCTATGAGACAGTGAGTCAATAGCAGGGGTCAGCAAACTATAGCCCGAAGGCCATACCCCACCTGCACCATGTTTTAGTAAATTGTTTTATTGGCATACATCCACACTTATTCATTTATATATTGTCTACAGCTACTTTCAGGCTAACTCAATAGAATTGAGTAGGTGACTGGACTGTATGACTTGCAAAGCCTAAATATTTACTGCCCGGCCCTTTACAGAAAGTTTGCAGACAGCTGGTTTATATAGTAAAGGAGTTTCTAGAAGTAAGAGGCTGGAGAGAGGCTCTCATGCAAAAAAACACTCTGTAACAGATGACTATGAATATGTATTAGATATATGACTATAGAGTTGTCTCTGTCACTAATAAGAATAATGATAATGATAGCAAATACAGTTAAGAGTCCTTGCTACATATCAGGCACTGTTTAGGCACTTTTATTCTAAAATAACCTTATGCAAGTAAACTTGGTAAAGATGATGGGATCTGAGAGTGTCCTCTGCAAAAAAGAGTATGAAGCTGGACAGAATTGCCAAAAGCCATCACTTTAGGGCATGATAAATTGACCAAAAGCAAAGAACAGATTTAAAAGTGCTTATTCTCAAAACAACAACAACAACAAAATAACTAGAACTTAGAGTAAAAAAAGTAAGAAAAAGTAAGAAAAGCAGAAGTCTATAACCTGCTTGCCTGGATGAGCCACAGAATGACTGAGACAAACTCTCCGTGTTACCTGGGTACCTGAGAAACTGGACATCCACAAGAAAATCTGGAAATAACTTGGGAGGTTGAGAACTGGCTACAACTTTGAATGCAACCTTCCCATACATGGCAGAAGGTGGAAGGAAGCCTTATAGGTTCAATCTGTTCGAGCAACACTTCTGCCCGCGTCACTGGCTGGTCACGAAGCTGTGTAGCCAATAAATGGAAAAGCTGAGTTCAGAGCCCAGCAACTGCTTCCTGAATCTGTTTGCTTTTCAGTCTGCATCTCTGCCTCACTAAATCTCCCCCATATAAGTTTTGCCTTAGATTAGCTCTGTGCACTTTGTTAACCACTCAAGGTACACCTAAAATATCTCCAGTTAATTTCAATTAGCCCCTAGTACACAAATCTGATGCCCCTGAGTACAAGCGTGCCAGCAGCCTGACATTACCTCTTGCCACCAGGCGCCTACAGGTGAAACCAAATTCATCATGTAACTGGAAAAAAAACACAAACTGTTGAAAAAATGTGGAACCAGTGAATCTGCCAACATGGTTCACACAGAGAACTGGGAATCCAGCATCCAAAGAAACAGCAGGTTACTGTTGCTGCCAGCTGTGTTTCCATTTAAGGTGCCATTTGTGGAAAATATTTATCATAGTCTTCCGTTTTCTCTGTGCAAAATGAAGGAAAAGTGAGAAATGCCAAATTACATTATTTTAAAAAATCCTGCCATAGAGCATCTCCGCTCTTAGAAGCTATTCTCTGAAGACATTATTGATGTTCTACCAGGTTGATGGAGTAATATAATGTGCTAGCAGGAAGAAAGGCTGGCAAAGAGAACTATGTTCATTAGAGCAATATCTTTACAATGACTTATTCCATTTTCATTATTTTTCAAGATCACACATATCACAGGGCAGAACAGTTGGCTTGCTATGCCCTGGATATTTCAGTATTTTTACAGTTGAAAGTAGATTTTTTTTTTTTAACACTTCTGCAAATTACATCTATTCTTGCTAGAAAGGGCTCTTTACACTGCTGAGGAAAAGAACTCTCTGAACACCTATGTGGCTTCTGTTTGCAGGCAGTTTCCCAGGTTTCATTAGTGGTAAAGAACCTGCCTGCCAATGCAGGAAACTGAGTCGTGGGTTTAGTCCCTGGGTCGGGAAGATCCCCTGGAGGAGGGCATGGCAACCCACTCCAGTACTCTTGCCTGGAGAATCCCATGGACGGAGGAATCTGGGGTCGCAGAGAGTCAGAGATGGCTGAAGCGATTTGGCACACATGCACCATAGTTTTAGACTCAATAAGTTCCTGTGGGGCAGTCTTTTCCTTAAGCAGTTCATCAAGCCCATCAAGCTGGGGCTGGACCAGCTCCAGAACTGACATCAGAGTTTTGAAGTAAGTGCCATTTGTCTTCACTCAGTTCATATCTCCTCCTTTTAAAAACTCTTCCCTTCAGCTTGGAGGACTCACCAGTGGTCTTGTCAGAGGTGCCTCACATAAGCTGCCTTCCCCACTTCCCAAGAAAGAAACCTCTTCACCCAATCAAAACTCCCAATCTTCCTTTCGAATAGTCTGATTTCATCAAGGTGTTAAAAAAATGCAATCCTATTAAATTATATTTGTTAATGATTGATAATTTCAGAGAGATGTTTGCTTTCTGAAGAAGAAATTTTCATTAACCCAAAGACTTTCTAATGGATAAAATTCAAAACAATATAAGCAGGTGATGCATTTCTGTTAGTGAGAAGGAAAAGTATTTGGGGACACAGGTACCTCTCAGGAATTTTTTAAAAAAACTCTGGTGAGTTGAGGTTCATAAGTGTGGTAGTTGACCACTAACCATGGTATAGCCAAGGCGAGCAGTATGCTAGTTGCACCCTCAGCCTTGCTACTGAAATGTCCATTAGCTTGCTTAGTTCTGTGAGGTCATGTAAGATGCCAGGAAGGGCCTCAAACCGCCTGACCAGACTCCACAACAGTGACTAGAAAGAGAGGACCCTTTAGGCTTTTATTCTACTTTCTAAACTGTTGGGATTTGAAAGACATTACTATGAGATATGTCATCTGCCTTCCTCTCCTCCCAATCTTTCATGGCATTTGGCTGGCCAGATGATATTCTTGGCATGTGCTTTGCTTACAGTTGTTAGGATGAATAATAGACTGCTCAGAGTTAGAAGGAATCAGAGATCATCTATACTTCAGCCCTTTCAGTTTAAAGACAGTGTTAAACCCAGGAAAGTTGCTCAGAGTCCACTAATTTGCGCTAAGCCACATAGCATTAGGGTGACACGACCCTAACGGCAGAAAGCAGAGAGGAGCTAAAGAGCTCCTTCTTGATGATGAAGTTGAAAAAGGAAGGTGAAAAACCTGGCTTAAAACTCAACATTCAAAAAATTAAGATGGCATCCTGTCGCATCACTTCATGGCAAATAGATGGGGAAAAAATGGAAACAGTGACAGACTTTATTTTCTTGGGCTCCAAAATCACAGGACAGTGACTGCAGCCATGAAATTAAAAGATGTTTGCTCCTTGGAAGGAAAACTGTGACAAACCTAGACAGCATATTAAAAAACAGAGACATCACTTTGCTGACAGAGGTCCATATAGTCAAAGCTATGGTTCTTCCAGTAGTCATGTATGGATATGAAGAGTTGGGCTATAAAGAAGGCTGTGCACTGAAGAACTGATGCTTTCAAACTGTCATACTGGAGAAGACACTTGAGAATCCCTTGGACAGCAAGGAGATCAAACCAGTCAATCCTAAAAGGAAATCAACCCTGAATATTCATTGGAAGGACTTTTGCGACGCTGAAGCTCCAGTACTTTGGCCATCTGATGTGAAGAGTGGATTCATCGGAAAAGACCCTGATTCTGGGAAAGATTGAGGGCAGTAAGAGAAGGGAGTGACAGAGGATAAAATGGTTGGATGGCATCATTGACTCAATGGACATGAGTGTAAGGAAACTCCAGGAGATAGTGAAAGGGAGAAAGAGTCAAACTGACTGAGCAACTGAACAAAAACAACAACGTGGCATGATAATCTGCCATTGGTTAGGGACTTTTAGGGAAGCCTGGCATGCTGCAGTCCATGGGGTTGCAAAGAGTTGGACATGACTGAGCAACTGAACTAAACTGAGAAGTATTTTCTTAAGCAGTACCCAAATGTCACTATCAC